TTGCTGACAAGAAAAACAGATTTAGAGTTATCTCCCTTCCATCGATTTGCATTCGCAAAACATCGGTAATTTCCGTACATCATACGATTCAATGTTATTCGAGATAAAGAATTACTACCACGAAGTACCAAATGAGTTGCCATTGACAGCGGGGTACATTGAAATGTTACTCGCTTGTAAGCGGGTTACATTGAAAATAATAGAAGAGCGATCAGCCAATCAGAAAGCGACATTTATGTGTGAGGTAAGATAGGACTTCTTGACCAACATTTCTTAACTTCAAGTGACTTATGGTCTGGCCTCAATGTTCAAGACTACACACCGCCACAAGACAAGATTCCAAGTATACAGTTACCTGGAAATATCTGCCATTTGGTTGGTTTTATGTGGTAGGACGTGGAGTTGTGCTCATCACACAGGACATAAATCAAGAGATGGTTTGGCAAAGTTGGCATTGTAGAGTTGTTGGAACGCTTGGACGCTTTATGTTTCTGGGGCCTTGGGCCCATGCTGAAGCACGTTACATATGCTTCCAAAGATAAATGACTTTGCTCGAAAAATATGCTTCTGTTCACCAAGTGTAAATGGGTACCCGGTAGGATGAGATGCTAATGCAAATATTAAATTTCTAGCACCTCACCTGCAGCCTTGTTGTACACTGCCCAAGAAACCGATGAAACTCGGGCGGTCATTGTTCTATTGATCACAAGTGAAAACATTACACAACAGTCCCGTTTCCCTTGACTGGGTCCCGTCCTATTGCGCAACTTAGTACAATAACCAGTCCAGAATTTTGAGACCAATTCATGTAACTGGATACATAATTATTAATCAGTATTATTTGATACATCTAAGCACTTGTATATTGCAACACTACGCTCCTTCTAATCCTTGCAAACACACGTCGCAGCGAGCTCTGTCGTACAGCGAGCTCTGACAAAGGGAAACCTAGAAATCGTGGAAATCTCAAAACGAGGCTCTGCCGAAAGAAACGTTTGGCGGATAGGTACGGACTTATCAATCACATTGTGCGTTACAGAATAAGCGCAAACAACACATAACAGGTGTAACCAGTGAGCCAGATGCATTGTGAATCATTTTACGACCTCATCAACCAGGGGCAGTCTGTGACGTCTTAGTTAAGGTCATGCTGCCTACACCTCACCATAAAATATAGAAATACGATGTTACTAAAGTTTAAAATTAAAATGCATTTGTAAATACCATTTTCTTATGAAACAAGGAATTGGAATCCAGTGTAACCATAGTTATTTGTTATGTCTATTTTCACTTTCACACGAGAAAATTCGGATCGTCTGAAAAGTAGGTCATTTTCTTAATAGGTTAATGAGACTCATGTTTCGGTTTGCGTATCGATGTAGCTGTGAGCACACTTTAGAGTGTCGGGCGGTGGGGTAGCCTAGTGGGTAAAACGTTGGCTCGTCACGCCGAAGACCCGGGTTCGATTCTCCACATGGGTACAATGTGTGAAGCCCATTTCTGGTGTCCCCCGCCATGATGTTGCTCGATATTGCTAAAAGCGGCGTAAAACCAAGCTCACTCACTCACTTTAGATTGTAGATTCGTCACGTTATAAATACATCTGCATTACACGTATGTGCGTATGACGAGATTGAACTTCAGGACCGAATTATCTCAGGTAAACAATTGACTAGACTTTGCTTATGTTTATGACGGGTGCCACCAATGGGGCAGGATACGCTGACCTTTTCGCGAACATCTGGTATCATCACTATTCCATGGTGATTCATAAACACATGCTCTGTCATCGTATCGCATGGTGACAATCACTGGATTGTCTGGTCCAGACTCGATTCGTTTACAAAAGCACCGTGCAGCTGTAATACTGCTGAATATATATCGTCACGTTATAAATATATCTGCAGTATACGTATGTACGTATGACGAGATTATTTCCTACAGCCTTCTGCCACAACGGCCCCGTAATCCGAATAAGTCAAACAACATTGCTAGCGACCGTATTACTATCCTATTCGGACAATCCTCAGAATATCAACCTCTAAACAATTACGTAAAGTTACATGGATCTTACCACTGGTACCACTAACGAGCGAGTGAGTAGAAATGTACGTAGCTTTTTTAGCAATATTCCAACAATATCACGGTGGGAGACTCTTGAAATGGGCTCCACACATTGTACACATGTGGGGAATCGAACACAGGTCTTCGGCGTCACAAGCGAACGCTTTAACCACTTAGCTACCCCACCGCCACAGGTGCCACTAGCGAATAAATCACTTCATTCCAAAGCTTTCCAACTTTTTCAACGGATACAAAAACCAAACAAACTAAACAAATCCCAAACAATAAAACACACAAAACCGTGCCTTTATTCTGTAGAAGGTCCAGTATACAGACAGATATAATATTTACATAGGCAAGCAAAGACTGCTCAACCAAGAACATATTTCACATTAGGAATTTACTATTCTAGGAAGCCATTAATATTCCGTTCAAATGCATGTTTGGGATGGCCCCACTCCATAGTAACGCAGAGTTGGCATGATCACGTTTCAAGATGTATCAGCTAGATCCCTGCCCCAGTCCGAAATGTCTCACCCCGTTTAGGATGTAACGAATATTCTAGATCTCAGCCGACCTTTATACCAAAGTCACTTAGAGCTCTTGGTGTATAGATATGGCGCAGGATGCTCACTTGTTCACGAAGGCATCTTTTATTCTTGAAATTATTATTTTATGCTGTTTCAAGAGCCATGCATAGATCCCGTTTGAACTTAGATTTTAAACGTTCCTAAACATTTATAAAGTACTTAAAATCAGACCCTTACATCATTATAGCGTATGGAGCAGAACTCTGTACTGGACACGGCATGTTCATGAAAGAGACTCAACATAAAGTAGGTTATTAGACCAAGATCGAGTCCTATCGATGACCCCCTGCTGGAACTACCGTGCCAGTGTTGCCAAGCTACTGTTCTTGACGTTCCTATATATCTAGCTACTGCCGTGTAAACAGATGTCACTTGACAGGTATCTAGGTTAATTTATTTTGTGTCCTGAAGCCGGCAAGAAACTTTCTAAACATCCTATATGGTTAAAGTAGCTACAGAAACATCCACACACAAGCTTAAATTCGGGATAAAAACCGAGAAACACCACGGTAATTACTTCTGTCAACGCGTACATGTGTGTCGTTGGGGAACCAGGTCATCAGGAATACGTTGACGAAGACGAGGGATAGATTGAGTTCAAACTTCTTTAGATGCTTACACAAGACATGACATAAATAGAGATTATTAACCTCGTGTGTGTCCGTATCATTAATATTATATATTAGGAATAAAATTGTATTATGCGAGCCTTAGGCGAGCATAATATATATCTTTTATTCCTAATATATTATATTAATGATACGGACACACACGAGGCTAATAATCTCTTTATGTAAAACCTTGGAGTCAACTTTGTGTGCAGACTATTTCAGTGTTGTCACAACCCCTAGTGTACAGTACACAACCCTGTGCACTTAAAAGAACCCACGAATCCGTTGGTATATGACCAGATGGTGGCCACAAGAATACGTGCAAACACCTAGTTGCGGGTACAGCAACGTGCAGTGAAGTTGGACAACTCGGTGCGCCTAGTGGCTGCAAGAGTTGTATACTCCCCAGGGAGTTGAGATTGATAATACGATGTGCCGTTGAGATTGACATCCAACGATCGAGGGAAAAATACCAGCGCCTTGAGCATGCACTAGTTGCCTGGATATGTGCGCTATATAAATATCCTATAATAATAATAATAATAATCTTCTTAAAATTACTCTTTAAAAAAGAAGCAAATCGTACGTGAATTTATATATGAAGAGAATCGAGCATTTGCGTAAGAATACTTAGCGGTACACCAAGGTGAATGTCGTTAATGACGGCGGCATATGGTTGTGACTAGTCGATAATAGAGTGCAAACATAACTCATGCCTAAAATAAGATCTTTCTGACTAGAAAGAACAACAAAATCAGGCAGGGTGGTTTTGGTAGTGTTTTCAATTCTCATGGCGGGTATAATCACCTAATTTCAGTTTCTGATACCTGGCGGAATCGATTCGTCGTCTTTTTTATTGTGATCGATAGATCGAATCCGTGGTTGGTACCTTTCTCAGACGATTGCCTGTCACTCGTGCCTCATAATCCGTACCTTCAACTTGAACGAAGTTCTCCGTTTTATGTTTTCCAAAGTCAATTACTTCAGTAACGACTCCAGAACCTCTGTCATCAATTGTAACGGAATCACCAATTTTGAAAATGGGGGCAGCCATGTTTGTTTACAAACTCGTCCACGCAATGTAACATCACTGTAACGACAACGTCATCAATGAAATGTTAACGTTTTAGGATTCGCATGGCATGTATGGAGTTTTGAGAAAGTAGGACGTGGATTGACGTAATTTGCATAGTTATCAGATTTGGATAGCAAGTTTATCAGATTGCTTTATTGCACCGATAACACCCTCCATTAGATGATAAACAAGTATACATGAGTGAGGTGAGCGGAGTTCCAGCTCAACTCCAGGGCGTTTCCTACGAGAGGCATTATCCTGCTCGCGGTCGTCCCTACACAGTCGGAACACCGGACTGGTGACAATATTGATATGAACAAATATACTGAAAGGCAAAAGAAACGTCGTAATACTGGAAATGACACAAGTATCAATGGAGCATTTGAACCTATTTTTTCTTAAAATATACACCGGAAGTCGTGTTTGAGGAAAACATGAATCGTGGTCGTACATATTTAGATTTTGGGCACTAATTACAAGACAGATGATGCCGAGGAATCGGTGATAGAAAAGGTGATAGAAAAACACACTTAAGTTTTAAAATAAATTAAAACACATTCAATTAAACAATATGTATTTTATTGGTGACTAACTCCGCACAACAGCACTCCTGAAAATATTTATACTTGGAAAACATTGTGAAGTTTGGATTGCTCACCAGGAACATGATTTTATTGTCATCGCAATTTCACGTTTCTGACAAGACTGACTGACTGACTGAATTTGGGTTTACGCCGCTTTTAGCAATATTCCAGCAACATCACGGCGGGGGACACCAGAAATGGGCTTCACACATAGTACCCATGTGGGGATTCGAACCCGGGTCTTCGGCGTGACGAGCCAACGCTTTAACCACTAGGCTACTCCACCGCCCCTTTCTGACAAGAATGGCTAATAGTCACAGATGACTGTTTGTGAAAAAGGGATTCATTTTTCTTGTATTTAATCTGTCATATGGTGTTAATTTGTGTATTTAGATTCTTTTGTGCCATTTGACATAATTTCTAATGAAGTGGTAGCTTTGCTCTCTTTGCGCTTCTGGTGCACTCGTGAGTAAATCTCCACGCCTGCGTACATGACCATCGCCACGACTAACAAAGCCAACACACATATAAGTTTTGTCTTCAAACACAGAAAGTTGCTGACAACAAATGTGATCGTGATTCCTATGGCTTTCCAGGTGTGGAAGTTAGCGAAGGCTGGTTCCTTCTTCTCCGGGAACAACATGGCTATCAGAGCTGAAATAGAAGTAAGACTAGCATGAGTTTTGGTATTACACTGTTCAGAACAGTTTCACATGCTTACAGCAATAAAAGTATCCATAAAGATCCGGATGCGAATTCAGCAACCCATTCTTGATAGAATAGATGACTAACGGGATCGGGTGGTCAAGGTGGCTGACTTGGTTGACACATGCCATCGGTTCCCAATTGCGCAGATCGATGCTCATGCTGTTGATCACTGGATTGTCTTGTCCAGACTCGATTATTTACAGACCGCGGCCATATAGCTGGAATATTGCTGAGTGTGGCGTTAAAAATAAACAAACAAACTAACAAACAGATCTGGGTTTAATAAATTGCCCAAGGATTTAATAAAAAATCAACCAGAGTATGAAGTTTTGCACAGCTGAAATTCGATAATATCATAACCTTTCTTCAATGCAACTATTCTTGTAAATAGTTTATCTATATATTATAAGTTGATTTTAAACATTATTATGATCACTTATAATTCCGTTTAAAATTAAAGATATACCAATTATGAACTATAAGTATTATAGCAACTAAAGTCATGTAGACATTTAAAAGGTTAGGAAATAAAAGGTTCGCTGTTATTAAGTGTATACAGGTATATACAGGAATAATAGAGAAACATTAATAGACTCCAGGGCCTAGATTTTCGAAGCTCTCATAACTAAGACAGGTCGTAAGAAGTCAACAGTTAAGATAATCTTAGAGCGACCATAAGAGATACACTAAGCCGGACATGATGGCAAATGCTACTTCATACTGTTACAATGTCATTTTTATCGTTTGAAAATAATGAGATCACTGATTGTAAAAGGTTCTTACAGTTTGACTGTGTCTCCCATATTCCTTCTCCGATGGCCCATACGATGGGAATGACGAAGATGTACTTGGTGTCGTCGCTTGTCGGCGTCCATAAATAGAGCGTTACAAACACCCCACCTTGTAACACAGCAGCTGCGAAGAACAGGATGTAACGTCCAATGTACTTCGCTATACGACTGAAGATGAAGGCACAGGAAGCAGTGGTTGCCCCGTACGTCGCCATGACGAAACCAACCATGTGTATTCCGATAGGACAGCTGACGAAGGACTGCAACAGAAAGCGTGATGAGTATTGTAGTCAAGTCAAGTCAAGTGTGCTTATTCACGAAAGGGACAGCCAGGTGTTCGATAAGCACCTCCACAGACAAAGTTATTTATTCATTGACCTGTGCTGTGCCGTCTGCTGTATACCTCGTGACAAACAGTGAACTGTGTCAATATTTACATTGATAGATTGTTAAACAACTTTTATTTTAGGGAAAAAAATTCTGCAAAAACCTCACAGAGTTGGTCTGATGTTTTGATTATGATCAGCGTTTCATTGAGTATTTTATGTTTATTCGTTTTCGAGTTAGATTGCCATTCATCGGTCCGCTTTTGAGCCAAACGGACTATAGATACATACTAGCATACCTTTCCTTAGATTCATACTGCTTACTGCATAATTACTGTTGCGTATCTGAGTCCCATTGCTTACATTTTGCCTGTTGTTTTTATTCAGCAAATGGACTACTTGCCTTCGTCCTGACTATTGAGTGAGTGAGTGAGTGAGTTTAGTTTTACGCCACACTCAGTAATATTCCAGCTATATGGCAGCGGTCTGTAAATAATCGAGTTTGGACCAGACAATCCAGTGATCAACAGCATGAGCATCGATCTGCGCAATTGGGAACCGATGACATGTGTCAACCAAGTCATGTGAGACTGACCATTCGATCCCGTTAGTCGCCTCTTACGACAAGCAGAGTCGCCTTTTGTGGCAAGCATGGGTTGCTGAAGACCTATTCTACCCCGGATCTTCACGGGTCTCCAGACTATTGTATTTTGTTCTCTTATTGTATACATACTGCCCACTGAGTGCATTCTTCAAACAGGCTGCATGTTGCATAAATGTCACTTTGTACAGCTAAAGATGACGTAAATAGGAAGAAAAAGTTAATAGAATCATATCAACAGTATTGTCCAATTATATAGAGTGGATGAGTTTTGACTCAGCGATTGGGACCAGGGCCTTTGGGGTGACGAATTAACATTTAAACAATGCCTATGACACATTTTCTAACACTTACACCTGATGTGGGTGACTGCATGTTGATAAACAGCTTGATGAATTGTTTGTCCACGGAAAGATACATAGGTCATCTGCCCTTACATAGAGCAACAAATACTAGATCTCACATTTATATGATATCTTCTTCAAGACATGACAAATCTTATTATAATACAATCGTCAAAGAACCAATAACCTACCCTTGTGTAGTCTGACCATAATATGGCTTGCTCCACCGCTTGGAACATTATGAATGGAACAAGGAATATCAGCTTGCTGGTGAATAATGTTTCAAAGAATGAACTCAGGGACTGCTTCAAGCTGACATTGCTGCTCCAGTCACTTTTTGGTAACGGTGGTAAGAAGACGATTGTGATGATCAAAGCAATAACATCACATGCGAGGCAGACTCCAAGAAAAATGTACACCAGGCTCATCTCTGGAGTAGCTATGTCCGTTCCGTTGGCTACTCCAGGACAATAGTCAGATCCACAAACGGCTTCTCCTGTGACATTGCTGTAGGTTCCTGATCGTAGGATAAGTGACGACACAAGGTTGCCTGGAATTTGGGTGCTCTCAAACACGGTGAAGAACAGTCCGTTCAGTTTACTGAGGACATCGTACGGGGCTGCTCCTGTAGACTTGGCAAGGGAGTAAGAACAGACTGAAATGTAAATACTTTGACTTGTCCACAGAAAACCAGAGATGGCCCCGAGGAGAACTGAAGAAGGAATGAGGGTAGAGAAGGCCGGATAGAAGTTCGAGCTTGTATACAGGAGGTGGATCACCCAAGACAAGATTAAAGACATTTTGATTCCCATGAATCGAATTACAGCTGGGGCCATGATTCCAGAAAATATAATGCATGCATACAGCACGCTCAAAGAAATGATTCCAAGATCTGCCGCTTCGTTGAGGCTGCTCTGTAGGTTCTGAATGGCCATGTAAGCAGCAAACGCCGAAAAGAAAGCAGCAGCAAGCACAGCACTACTTCTGGTTTCCTTCCCTTCAAAGGCATATGTCTTCAGTTCCTCCTCTTTCTCCATTTTGTAGTAGTTTATTCCAGCAGTACAGTTTATCAATACCTTTTATGTGGAAATCTTATACTGCGACTGTGGGTTGGACCCAAAAGTTTGGAAAAGGTGGAGAAGTTTAGATTTGCCAGTATGCTTGTATTATAACACAGCATGTCTCCTCATTGAAATAAACTGCTCTTACGGTGTACTTGTGAAGTAAACGCTTTCCAGTATAATGGAATGTGTCCGATCACGGACGTTGCTAAGCTTGGCAATGACAAAGCATATGAAAGAGAAGTACTTGCTGCATTCTCTTATCTGACATACTTTTATTACTAGTGGTTTAATATATGTGTGACCTCAATGTATAGGTACATAGAAGCACAATTCAGGTACATCTTTTAGCAGCTACTCACCTTCATATCAGTTTGATCCAAGGTGATCATATGCCCATATGTTCCATCCTATGTTTGTTGACCAGAGAAGTATTGGTCTTCATCAACCCATGCTTGTTGTAAAAGGGGACTAACGTGATCGGGTGATCAGGCTCGCTGACTTGGTTGACACATGTCATCGTATCCCTATTGTGTAGATCGATGTTCATGCTGTTGATCACTGAATTGATTCCATTATTTACAGATCACCGCCATATAACTGGAATATTGCTGAGTGCGGCGTTGAACAACAAACCACCCAACCAATTAACCTATGCCTGTAGTGATAGGCGACCAAAACATCGGTGGATAGATACGTTAACTTGGTTGGTTGGGCGGTCTTGGGACATTGCTTATAGGAAAAATCGCTGTTAGTGACTATTTCGGATAATCGGAGCCTTTGAAGACTCACCCACATGTGTCAAACTACACCAACACCTACCTCACTTACCCTTGCATTACTTGGTGAGTGAGTGAATGTGAATTTACGCCTCGACTTCAAGACTTGTATCCGGGAAGCGGTGTCAGACGTGTATGTTGTTGCACACAGGAACAACGATAATGTAAGTCTCTTTGGACTAATTTGATGACCCTTCCCCCTCCTCCACTTTTTGCATTTGAGAAAATATACAATCTTCATATAAAGTAGGGGATCATGAAACAAGTCCAAGCATTAATACAAAGATAGGTGTTGACAACATACATCTCATGTTAGAAATTTATGTCTGTAAAACATATCACCAAAACATATGCTAAAGCGTGCACGTGGTAGTGCCACACACGTGCGCAGAATGTTAATCATGATTTTGACACAATCAAGGACGGACGATTCATCTCTGTGCACCATAGTGCCTCTCAATGTTTCTGTTTCTGCTTATGCAGTTGTGATTTACATGACTTCATTCATTGTGTCAACAGTAGGCGTGTGGTGGCTGCAATGGGCGTGCTGGACACCTACTGTGGTCAATGCGTCCTCCAGATGCGCATCACCCACATAATATCATGGCCAGCACCACTGAACATTTTTAGACACAAAAGGTGTGTCATAGGCCGCCGACGTCTTTGGCTGAACTTGGCCAAGCTCTGCAAGAAGAGTGGGACAGAGTAGTAGAAAAGGTTTCGTGTTTCCGCTCTTCTATCTATATGTTATCTATAGATTATATATTTATAAATATGATTGTGGTGCATGCGATTTGTTTTTCTTGTCCGTAGGTCTGTTGATTATATGCAGCTTGGATAGATTGGGCCAACGTTAATGCAAATATACTGAGAGAAACAAATAAAGGAACACAGGGAAATTCAAGTGTTCCTTGATATTTTCCATTTTTCATCACCAGCTTTGAATAGTGCTGTGGGAGGAAATCAGAGAAATAATAAAGGAACACTGTCAGACAGTGGTGTTCCCTTATTTGATTCCCTCGACATTTCGCGAGTAACAAGCTGATTTTGCACGAAAATCATGTCTATCAACTGCGAAGGTTGAAACAGGCTGGAATATGTGTATATAGATTCTGCATATCTGGTCTTACTGGAAAAAAAGTTTTCCAAAATTGCATGCTTGATCGCTCAAGTCTGCCCCAAGTTTGCAACCCATTCTTTATCACAGTCGTGGTTGGCTGTAGACGTTCTCGACAAAGCAAATCTTTTTAAGCCATGAACATTCAACTATCCAGAACATAACAATGATCACTTTTACGCTGTAGTTTCGTTTGTATGACTTGAGTTAAAGGATTTATAAATTTTTTTATATACTCTTCTTTCTTTTAACAACGGAAATGTGACTAAGGTCATGTATATCACAACCCGAACTCACTATTCGATGTGAAAACGACATGGGACATACACTATATGCTATTTCTGAAATTACTGTTTTGTCTGTTTTTTCATACTTTGATAAAACGTTGTCGTAAGACTCTGTTTAAAAAAAAAAAAATGATATGCATACAAAATGAATCACCCATCGTACTTACTGCGTATGTTTTATGGTATCGTGAGCTGATATCTATGATAACAATAGTTTTCGGGTTTTCATGGAATGCATATCTTTTGCAATATGCTTTGGTCAGTTCTGGGGACGTAGAGCAAGTGTGAACCCCTACATCTTTGAACCTGTAACATTGACCGAAATACCCAGCTCAATCCCCATTTTAAAAAAAAATGTATTTTCTGAAAATCCCTTCATCCTTTTGCTCCCTTAAAATAGCACTGCAAAGATGAATCAACATCCCACAGACTTGCTTGGGCGGTGGGGTAGCTAAGTGGGTAAAGCTATCGCTCGTCACGCCGAAGGTTCGATTCCACACAGGGATACAATGTGTGAAGCCTATTTCTGGTTTCCCCGCCGTGATATTGCTGGAATATTGCGAAACGGCGTAAAACCATACTCACTCACCCACTCCGCAGACTTGCTAAAGTCATTCACTTCCTAAAGTCATTCATAACTTTTCAGCGCCTTTCACCATTCGTTTGGGTTGTCACGTACACAGACCTCAAAATACAGTTTTTTTATGGTAAGATTTTGACACTGATATTATTTCATTGCAGTCGTGATGCACTTCACAATATCTGCAAAAAGGAGGGTTTTTCTATACATCCTCCTTTAGCCTGTGAATGCATCACGACTGCAATGAAATAATATCAGTGTCAAAAGCAAGAGAACTGTGCCATTTTCAAATCACAACAATATATTTTGTCAATGCTGTCAGTATGCAAAGTAACATAAAGTTCCTTCATGTATCCATATATATGTGTACCATAATATACTCCCGATCAAAAGTTTAGCCTCACTAGTGTAAATGTAGCCACTTACTTCAGTCAACAGATCTAAACTAGATTTTGCAAAATATTCTATACAGTTTAAGGGTACTGTTTACACATGAACTGATGTATTGTAAGACAAATTCGTAACGTTAACAAAACTTTACACCAAAACGCAGCTGTTCACATGCACGATATTTGCACATGCTTTTCAGCAATTTGATGCATGATCCTCGTGCAATTCATCTGCATAAGGTTTGCAGTTGGTTCCCCTAAGTTTGTGGAGAAATTCATCTTCGATGTAACCACATATATATGCATAACATATAGTGAGTAACATATAGTATAGATTATGCAATCGTTAAATTTGTATATATGAAGCATATACAAGACATTATGAAATCTATATATCTTTAGAAACAAAAGTAACAGGTGGGTTGGTGCTTTTATGTAATGTTTAGAGCGAGCGTTTTTCACATTTGTAACTCTCTTTGTTCAAGGAGAATGAAAAGTGAAACAGATGATAATGTTAAGGTAATGAATGGAAAATAATCAGTAAAAATGTGAATGCTTTGTATATGTGTCTGATACTGAAATGCCATCATACCGTATAATACGTATTTGGTTTGAGTATAGTGTTTAGAATATCATTATATATTATCAATATCATTATTTTAACAAAGTTAAAACAAAGTACTCATTTAAAAACATTATAATACGTATATACACTAATGAAGGGTGAATCTCATGTTTTTTCAAAATGTTTTAAAATTCGTACCAGAATTAAGTTGCCCCACAACGTGTTAAACATCATTCATAGTGGATAAAAGTTCATTTGGAATATTGTAATCACAATCATGTTTACAATCAACTTACAAAAAGTACCATTTATGGTATCATTAAATCGCAAAGATTTTAATAAAATTTCAATTCGATAAAACTTCTGTGTTCACATTGATTTTTATAAAATCTCTAAGTGAGTGAGTATGGTTTTATGCCGCTTTTAGCAATATTCCAGCAATATCACGGCGATGGATACCAGAAATGGGCTTCACACATTGTGCCCATGTGAGGAATCGAACCCGGGTCCTCGGCGTGACGAGCGAACACTTTAATCACTGGGCTACCCCATCGCCACATAAACTCTCTTAGGAATTTATTCCAACTAATATATGTGTTGAATTATTATTGACACCTGCCCATGTTAGACTACTTGGAAATGAGAAAGCTGTTAAATTGGCAAAAGGGCAAAGGTTTGATGAATCAGAACAGGATGAGACAATAATATCTTCTCCCGCTGAAATATGCACCGTCAAAGAGGTCCATGCTCAAACAAACTGCCTCATGGGTCTCACCCTTAAAGGACACCATCTCTATGCCATCGAGTCTTTTGTTACTAAATTACACTTCACTCGAAACAATCTTTTAGGTTCTTTCAGCCAGATTTCGTCTTGGGCATTGTGGTCTTCGTGCATATCTCAGTATTATTGATAAAGATATTTCTGCGAATTGTACAGTACACTTTCAGCTTGATAACGATATACGAATCTGCATCGAAAGGTCGCTCTAGGCAATAAATCAAGAACTTTTTATCAGTAAAGATGTATGTTTCATTAACCAACTTCTACAATGCCAATCAAACAGTTAGAATTATACAATCTGTAATCAGTTAGATAATGTGGCGCTTTGCTTACTGTACTGCACAAAGAATTTAAATCAACGTAAAGCAAGAGTTGAATCTCTTACAGCTCTCAATATTGACCTCTCAATGGCTGGACTACAAAGAACATCGTTCGCCATGAAGCTCAAGATGTAATACTTAAGCATGTGACAGCTTTGCTACTTTATAAACGTTTAGAAACTTAGCAAACCTTTGTGATGGGCAAGGTGTAAATGGGCCCAGTTGCTCCAACACCTATTAAACTTTTAATGATCAATCAATCAATCAATCATCGTGAGTGAACAAACGAGTACATTATGTATTGAAGCAACCGTA